CTGAGTAAATAAAATCCTTTCAGAAATGATAATCTATATGACCACAATGTATTTTATTTTGGTTCAATTGATGCCCGAGTCATCAGATCAGAGTAATCTATTTTCTTTCCTTGACCCTCTCTTTGGGATTGAATCTCACTAACCCCCTAACCTCTTAGGTGCTTAGAGACAGCACAGCTTGGTGGCCCACGTGTTTTTGTTCTCTCTTGAGGTGAATGATGAGATAGTGCTGCAAGAAGCTTGGAAGCAAATTTCTTCAAGAGGAGTCAGGCAACCTGGATCCTCTTTCAGGCCCCAAGAGAGATGGCAACACAAGTTGCCAACAAAAAGGGGTGGAGGGGTGCTGTGTTTTAGTAGAGAGGGTCCAAGAAAAAATTTGCTGAAAATTTTTCCAATTTTGATAACATGGAGTGAAAGCTTTCTACCTGTCCTTGTAGTTAGAAAGTGCACATGATTTGAAATTAGGAGATATTAGTTCTAATGTCTCTTACACCACTGTCCATGTGACAATGAGCAGATCACTAACCAATAACTTTTTCTAGGACCTCAGTTTCACCCAATATACTAAATAGGGATAATGATTCTCATCCTAGGAATTATTTGTGTGCAACAGAGTTACATTGAGTATTTGGAAAGGATGGTGCCATCAAAGTCTAATGTGTATTGATTTTAATTTGCTTTCTCATTTTTCATGGAGTTCAGAGTATATTATGGGCATTTTCTAGACAGCTTATCCTATTACGGTTATCATAGACCATCTAAAATTTAAAGTCTGGCTGTAAAGCATATGGAGAGAGAATTCTGGGATTCTGAAGGCAGCAAGGCTTACTTCCCTCTTATTCCTCAGTTTTAAGAGTCAGTTGTGTTTCTTCAGTACCAGGAGAGGAGTGTCTAGGTTTGTGCCATCCTAATCAGAAATCATCTAAATGCTGAAGAGCAGTAATGAGGAACCTGTTCCAGCCTCCCTTTCAGGATGGATTTATTCGTTGGAAGCCTTTTCAGATCATCATGAGGGGAGAGCTCTTAAGGAAACAACTCTCTTGGCTTAGCTTAAGTGGATGTCCAGGAACCTAAAGGCTACTCTGCCTTCTTAACTCCATTCAGGAGAGATGAGATGAAGGAATATGTGAGTTGAATTCTGAAATAGACAAAGAAGAGTAACACCACACTGGTGAGTACAGAATATTGTCCTAGTCCTCCAAGTTTTGAGCAATGAAACTTTGTCTTTATTGAGCCATATCTAAAGATAGGCATTTTCCAACATGTATTAGAACACACTTATATTCTGACAGTTTGATGAGGAAAAACTAAGACATGGGAAAATTTTTTTAGTCCCCAGGCATTCCTTAAAATGTCTTTATCTCGAGGCACTGTGAGTACTAGTACATTGTGATTAAAGCAGTCACTTTATAAATGGCAGAGTACATGATGGATAGAATACCAGGGATAAGGTCAGGCCTCTTCTCAAATACTTGGCTTCTCTTAGTAGTGTAAATGGTTAGATCGTTTAGTCCCACTTCCTCCTCTCTCCCTAAACCCCAAAAGAGATCATTTTCTCTCATCTTTTGAATACGTGCTATGGTAAGCAGAATTTTTTAAATGACCTAAAATGTTCTGCTCTAATCCCCAGAACCTGTGAATTTGATTGGATATTACGCCTATGGTTATGTTACATTACATGACACAGTTGACTAAGGGTAAGATTGTCCCTGTGGACCTGTTCTAATCACATGAGCCCTTAAAAGCAAAGAGTTTTCTCGGGTGCCAGGAGAAATCAGAGAGAATATGAAGGAAGATGTGCCATTTCTGACATTAAAGATGGAGGGGACCATATGCAAGGACTGGAAAGTGGTCTCTAAGAGCTAAAATTGAATCCTAACCAACAGCCAGCAAGGAAATGGGGACCTCAGTCCTATAACTTTAAGACACTGAATCTGCCTGGCTGGAGTGGCTCTGTGGTTGAGTGTCGACCTTTGAACCAGGAGGTCATGGTTCGATTCCTGGTCAGGGCACATTTCTGGGTTGCGGATTCGATATCCAGTAGGGGGTGTATAGGAGACAGCCAATGAATGAGTCTCTTTCATCATTGATGTTTCTATCTCTCCCCTTCCTCTCTGAAATCAATAATATAATTTTTTTTTTTTTTTAAAAGAAAGAAACTGAATTCTGCCAACAGCCTGAGTGAGCTTGGATTCACTCAGAACCTCTAGATAAGAGCTTAATCCAGTCAGTACCTTGACTTAGACTTTGTGAGACCCTAAGCAGAGAACCCAGTCAAGCCTGCCTTGATAGATGTGTTTTATTATTTTTCAATTACAGTTGACATTAAATATTTAAGTGGCTGTTGTTTTAAACCACTAAGTTTGTGGTCATTTGTTATGTAGCAATAAAAAGCAAATATAAGTGTAGTCTAATCTGCAAAAGAAATGAAGTTTCATCTGAATCTTGCATTGAAAGGAAACTCTAAAATTTGACTTCTTTGACCCTTCTAACTTAATCTAGCTCAGAAGGGTTCAACATAAAAAGACCTTTAAGCAAAAATTGTATGTCATGTTCTTTTACTATAGCTATTTCATTTGTGTAAAGTAGATATTTTTTTCTTATTTTAACATGACAAAACTAAGACTCAGGTTCTAGAACATTGATGGCGAACCTATGACACTCATTTTTTTGGTTGAGTGTTCTTTTTTAAATGGCATTTAAATATAGAGAGTAAATATCAAAAATATTAATCTTTGTTTTACCATGTTTGCAAATATCAAAAAATTTCTATATGTGACACGGCACCAGAGTTAAGTTAGGGTTTTTCAAAATGCTGACACACCGAGCTCAAAAGGTTCGCCATTGCCGAAGCCAGTTTGGCTCAGTGGATAGAACGTCAGCCTGCGGACTGAAAGGTCCCAGGTTCGATTCCAGTCAAGGGCATGTACCTGGATTGCGGGCACATCCCCAGTAGGAGATGTGCAGAAGGCAGCTGATCGATGTTTCTCTCTCATCGATGTTTCTAACTCTCTATCTCTCTCCCTTCCTCTCTGTAAAAAATCAATAAAATATATTTAAAAAAAAAAAAAAGGTTCGCCATCACTGTTCTAGAACCAGGATTTAGTCTTTGAGGTTATCTAGGTAGAAAGTGATAAAACAGAATAGAAACCCATTACCAAAACTTGTATAATGCCACATCACAAGGTAGGACCGCGATATCATTGGAAGAAAGGGAAAGACAAATCTGGACAGTTTTTTAGATTTTGTAGTGAAGGCAATTGACTTGCTTTTCTTTCTTTTTTCTTTTTTTTCTTTTGTTTTGTTAATCCTCACTCAAGACACTTTT